AGTACCACCTGTCTGAAGGAACCTTTCTGAACTTAACTATCTCTCCACTCACTTTCGATACCAGTAGTTCCCTGATCTGTCTAGCATCCATCTTTAAAAATTCAGATTGCTGGTATCTGACTCAGAACTATGGAAAGCCAGKAGGGGCTGAAAGGCTATGTTTTTAATATGCATCCAGAAGAATCAGTTCATATTTTGGAAATCAGTGGTGTAGCCCATTGCTGTTATAAAGTGTTGTCTGTGGGAGCTTAGCGTCTTGGGCTGCTGCCCTGACCTATGGAATCAGACTCTGCTTTTTCACAAGCTGCCCARGTAATCGGCAGACCTGCTAAAGTTTGAGAAGCCCTACTCTGTGCCTCAGAGCCGTGGTTCTCAAAGTAATTTCAGATCAGCAGAAGCAGGATCTGGGAGCTTGTAGAAATGCCAATGCTTGAGCCCCAACATAGACCTACTGAATGCAAAGCGGGCAGGATGGAGGCCAGGAATCTATATATTAACAAGTCCTCTGGATGCTTGGATGCACACTCAAGCTGGAGAGCTGCTTCCCTGGATGTTGAGGTATGAAACACTTGCTCATGCGGAGCCTCTTGGATTCTAGGAATCCATTGCCCTACATGGGATCCAGGATGATCAAAGGACAACTTTGAAAACAGCCAGTGCTGCATAAGGCTAAGTGGCTAGACTTGTTCCTCCCCAACCCCTTGTTGACAGCAGCTTAGCAGGGCTGAGATAATCCTATGCCTCAGTTTGTGACTCCATCCTCGGCCCTTCTCTTTAGTTCATCTGTGTTTTCTGATTCAGTTGTATGCCCTCCCCAAGCATCCCTGTGAGTATGGGCTGTCTTGTGAAGAAGTTAGAGTGGATTTACACCACCCTTATGGATACCATGCTATAAGTTTCACTTCTTCCTCTTGCAGAGGATTTTCAAGGTCTRCCTTCACTGTGAGCAAAAGCTGAGTCTGTGTCTAGCTGGGACTCAGTATTTCATGGGATACAGCTCTTCTGGTGCCCTGTGGTGAGACACAAGGTGGCCTCAAATCCTCAAGACCACCAAGGATGCTGGGCTAGCCTCCTCCTACATATCTCCCCAGGGACCTGTCTGCATTTCCCCCACTTCAAGATAGAAAAACTATAGAAATGTTTCCATCCCATGTGACTTGCCCAATMCCTGGCCTGGGAAGTGGCAGACTTAGAAAGTCTAGCATGGTGGTTGAGTTTGACTTTGGTGTCAGACACGCCTGRTGAGATGACTTGGTCTCTCCACCTTTCAGTGCCTCAGTTTTTTCATTCACTAAATGAAACCTACTTCATGGGTTTGCTATGCAGATTAATAAATGAAAACCTCTTGGCAGAGTCTCTAGTACATGGTAAGTGCTCAATAAATATTCACTATAATTTTACCTCTTGCCTGAGGCAGTCTTTGGATGGCTTTTATATTGATTTTTTTWWTTTTTTTGGTCTTTGCATTATTGTTAACTTTCTTTGWAAGTCCTCTATTCAAACTGAACTCCAGGGGTACTCAGAGAGAAGGCCTGGGTCCCAGCCAGGGGGCTGGACAAAGGCCAGGGCGGGTGTGGGGTTCTTTTCAAAGAATTGAGGCCAGAGATGTGTGTCTGGATAAGGAGTTTGGATGGGCTTGCTAGAAGCTCTGGGGCAGGCACCGAATACACTGCGCAGGAGGCAACGACTCTGGACCTGTTCTCTCCCCCAGCCCCGGTGGGAAAGCCGGAAAAGCGGTGGTGCAGGGTCCGCATACAGTAGATGCTTAATGCATGGCTATTTCTTTCGTGTCTTGTATTTAGACCCCGTTTTAAGAGTCTAGGAGAGCGGTGGGAGGAGGAGAGCGCAGGAGAGAGGGTGGGCGTTGTTGCCTAGCTTCACAGGAACTGTCCTATCAATGAGTGTCGTGGTGTGACCTGCGGAATGGAAATAGAGGAGTCTGGTGGCGAGACCTGTCTGCACATAGCGGTGGAGGCCAGCAGAGGGCGATGCACACCTCCACACAGAGTGGTGGCTGTGGGAGGCCTGGCAAGCTGGGGTGGAGAGACCAACTGTCTTGCATAGCCTGGAGTTGAGGGGTTTCCCCACTGCCAGGGATTTTTCAATGCTCATATGGGGACAGTCCCAGGCAAACTAAAACCAGTTGGTTACTCTGGCTGAAAGAAGTAGCCTCCAAAGTGGTGCACACACATATGCACACATATACATGCTCACCCCAAACACACCTTGCACAAAATGTACCCACTTGTACCACATGCTTACACACCTACCTATCCCACACTCATGTGCATCACAGCACAGGCATAACATGTAGCGTTGTTGATCTTTTTTKGGGGGGTGGGGGTACCAGGGATTGAACTCAGGGACACTCCACCACTGAGCCACATTCCCATTTAGAGACAGGGTCTCACTGAGTTGCTAGGGCCTCACTTAGTTGCTGAGGTTGGCTTTGAATTTGCAATCCTCCTGCCTCAGCCTCCTGGGCTGCTGGGATTACAGGTATGCACCACCGTGCAGGCTTGCACAGCTCTTTTATAACACATGTGCAACACTCTCACACAATACAAATGTGCAACACAGTCAAAACAAATACATTTGCACACATGTACCATATTCACATGCAAAACATTACATCACAATGTGTGCATATGCACACAGGCACAATACATATGCTCATTACACCAAATGCATAACATGCACAATATACACATATTACATCCATGCAAAATATGCATACCTGTGCACAGTGCACAAGCCACAAAATTCACCCACTGTGTACCATGTACATACAGTACATTCATTTTCTTCAGGATGCATGAGTAATACACATACAAACTTGCACAAATATGTGTGTGTGTGTTACTCATGCATGCCATCTCCCTGGGCACAAATCTGCATGTTATGCACACTTCCCAACTTGCCTCCTGGAGTTGGGGCAGGCTAAGCTGCAGTCAGCACTTACAAAATGCATTTATAAYGTGTAACACATGCAATATACACACTCACCCAGTACACACACAAGCATGTCATACCCATGCAACATGGTCACAACATGATACGCCTGCACACATACATCATATGCAAGACAAGCACCACATCAAACACACATGGACACAGTGCATGTATGTTATCACTATGGACACAGCACATCCACAACATGCATGCACGTATGACAACACACCACACAGCTCTAATAAGTGCACATCGTGCCACATACATGACATAAACCAAGCACACAGGAATCACACAATACACAATTCACATACACTACAAACAACATACATGCATTTCTATTTAATATATACACAACACAATGTACATACAATATGCAGTACATCCACAAACACAAACACACACATGCATAGCATATATGCACACTTCTTTGGTAGCCAAAGTCTCTTGTTTGAGGTAATGTTTCTTATTTGCAAAATGAGGATATTCTTCCTGCTGTAGTCAATGGGAAAATGCATCAAAAAAATTGAAAACTGTTCCTTTATTCAGCAATCATTTCTTTACTGCATGCTGGGATATACAATACAAATTCAGTGCTAACCTTCTCTGGGGCTCACAGCATGGCAGGGGAAGCAGACATTGAACAAATAAATACATCAATGACCATTTAGCTTCAGTTGTACTAAGTATTAAACTCCAGGGTGCTGAGAGCACAAAACTGGAATGGGGTGGGAGTTTCCTGAAAAGTGCTTTATAAGTCAAGGCCTGTGGTCAGAGCAGCAGGGATGGGAAGACCCGGGTGAGGTGATGAGGCACCAGAGTACAATTTAAGGAGGTGCTCACACCCAGGTGCCGACCCTGCATTTGCATGCCCCTGAGCCTGAGKGGCAGAGCAGCAAGCCTGAGAGGGACCAATCAGGGATCGGAGGAGCATATGCACTGCTCCCAGCTGCTGCTCTACACATATCCTCTTGCTTCAAGGGGTTACAGGATATGTTTGCTTTCCAGGAAACCCTCTGAGCTCTGGGAAGAGCCATGACTTCTAGGGAAGGGCCTTTGATCACCCAAACGAACCAGCTGCATTGCTCCTGGAGGCTGGTAAGCAGTGCCCCACCCCCTTCCCCTTGGCCAGCCATGGTAAGGGAGGGCCAGGATGTAAAGCATGAGCCTACCATCTCCCTGGGCACAGATCTGCATGTCATGCACACTTCTCAGCTTGCCTCCTGGGGCTGGGACAGGCTAAGCTGCAGTCAGCACAGTAGACTAGCTCTGGAGCACTGGAAGTAGTCCCTTGGTCTAGCACATTAAGGAGGGTGGCACAGAGTGGTGGTTTAGGCAGTCTGAAGCTTAAATGCGGAATTCAAGTTCCTGCTTTGGCATGTACTAGTTGTGACTGTGGGAAAGCCACTTGGTCTCTCCATGCCTTATTTTTCATTCCTATAAAAATAGCAGGATGCTAATACTAGCACCCATCCTCCAGAGTGGTAAGGGACTTCATAGAACTTCATGAGTTAGAACATGGAAAGCTCTTAAATTAAAACCAGGCACATGGCAAGAGCCACATAAATGTTAAAAAGCAATTGTTATTCTGATCCAAAATAAAAGCAAACACTAACAATACGCTTCATGTAAAAATGTATTGGAGTTGGAGCATTAGAACTGGACAGTGCATGGAGAACATCTGCTCTAACCTTCTTTGTGTGTTACACAGATAAAACTGTGAGACCTGAGGATCTAGAGACAGGCAAGAGCCTAGGGCAGGGAAGAGAATGAACAAGCAAGAACTCCTCACTTTCTGTTCTCCTGGGAGAGTGGCTCTCACCCAGAGGTCTTGTTAGATACAGATCACTGGACCCTACCCCCCGGGGTCTGAGATAGGCTCTGAGAATCAGCATTTCTAACAAGTGCCTCATTAGCAAGGCAGATGCTGCCCCAGGGACCACACCTTGAGAAGCACTGCCCTAGCAACAGAGGAGGCTTAGCATCCTGCACTCTGCTGCCGCCTGATCCCACCACACCAGAGAAGGGAAAGAGAGGGCCTTACTTACAGCGGGTGCCGCACCTCGGRCAGGGCCCTGTGAAGGGGCAGGCTGGCACTGAGCGCCTCGTTGAGGCCATGTGAGTCCAGGCTGAGTGGGGTCATCTCCTTTTCTTCTGATACTTCCCCATCCTCCTCCTCGGCCCCCCAGTCCCCCTCTGGGGMTTCCTCATCTGGTCTCTTGCTCAGATGCTTGATGAGCCGGTAGCTGCCACCTCTCCTGACCTGGCTCTGATTCCTTCTGGCCCTGGGTGAAGCCACAGCCACTAGCAGCTGATCTTCCCGCAGCGAGATAAAGGGCGGCAGGCCCTCCAGGAGTTCGTACTCCTCACCCTCATCCTCAGCCTCCAGGACCCATTCCTGAGATTCCCCAAAGTCCAGGTGGTACCGGCTTTCAGGGGTGTGCTTGATGGCCTGGGCTGTGAGAGCCTGTTGCCCAGTGTGCAGGGGAGGATGCAACATGGCCACCATCATCAGGACGCATCCCAGCATCAGAAACAGCAGGAGGAACTGAAGTCTGCAAGGTCCATGCCTGTACCGCTTCTTTAGGAGCATGTTGCTACAACTTGCCAGATGCAACAGGTCATGTTCAAGTTTGCTTTCTCATCCGCCTCCAGGTTCCTTCAAGCTTGCCGCAGGACCTGGTTGCTCATTCCACCTGGAAGTTTCTTTTGCCAGTCACTTAACCTGCTCCTTTTTTTCCCATCTGACATTTGCCAACAGCATGTGTAAAACCTGCYTCCACTTATCAGAAAGTCCACAGGACTTCAGTTTCACCCCAGGTCCTCTGCGTGGCTTTCTTTAATTGCCTTCGGAGAGCCCATTCACAAGGACTTTAAACTGAATTGCTTGCTCCCCTTTTACCCTGTTTTTCTCCTTGGGGAAAAAAAAATAAATCCATTCTGCTCAGGTGTTTAGTCCCATGTGTTTCTTTCCCCCTTTGCATGAATGGTCAGGCTGCTATGAGATGTCTGGGGTGAGCTGGTGGGTTCTCAGTGCAGCAGAGCTGACAGCCGTCCCTCTTTGGACGCTTCAAGTCAGGTCAGATCAACAGATGTAAAGCCGGCAGGCAGTGCCTGATTTCCTTTCACACATAGCTCTGCTCAGCGGAGAGCCCTCTGCCAGACACAGCCCAGAGCCAAGCGAGCGTCTCGCTCCTGGTCCTAATGCCCTCAATGTTCCCAGGCTTTGCACAACCCGAAGGCGTCACTGCTAGAACCAAATCAAAACAGGAATGTCCCAAGAGTTCTGATTTGAATCTCATTCATAGGAAGAATTCTTTCCCCACCCAAAGGAGTAGGAAAGAGTATTCTCTCCTGGTGCAGAAAGGCTGCACTTGTGACATAGAGGGGAGGAGTTGCCTGGATATTTGCGCCCTCAGCCTCCCGCAGGTGATCTGCCAGGCTGGACTGGACTCTCCTTCCCTTCCCAGGAACCACGTACCCTGCTCTCCTGAAAACAAGAGGATGACAGCATGTAAGCCCCTCCTTTTCCCACAATAGCACTGTGCTCCAGCCACTGGGGAGGGCATGCTGGAGCAGGTGTGGCACGCTCCTTCAACTGCAAAACTCCCTTCAACCCACACCCAGCACCTACTGTGTGCCAAACTGTTCTGGGAACTGGGATTATAGCAATGAATAAAGCAGTCAAAACAGTGTGTGTCTCATGGAGCTTACATGCTAATAGTGGAGACAAAGAGATGATTAATTAAAATATACAGTGAGTCAGATGGTGACAAGGGCTACGGAGAAAACATTAAGCAYAGATGGGGGTTGAAAATAACCTTGAATGGTAAGGAAAGGGTTCACGAGAGACTGAGCCTTTGTGTAGGGGAGAGGGTTATACAGATACCTGGGGATGAGTGTGTTAGGCAGAGAATAACAAATGTGAAGTTTCTGAGGCGAGAGTGTGCCTGGCTTGAGGAACAGCAAAGGGCTGGAGCAGAGCAGGCAGGGTGGAGCATGATGGGAGATGGAGTGAGAGAGGTGAGGGTGGAGAATCTTGCAGGACATCCCTTGGAGAGCACCGAAGGTATCTCGGCTTTCCATCCAAGTGAGATGGGAGCCTTTGCAGAATTTGAGCTGAGCCGAGAAACAACCTGACTTGAGCTTTAACTGGAATCACTCTGTATGCTAGGTTGAGAATCGGCCAGTGGGGAGCGAAGGGCAGAAGCAGAAGACCAATTTCTCCCAGGTTCTGTCAAGACATTATTGACTTTGACCAAAGTGGCATCAGTGGAGGGTGGTGAGAAGTGGGTAGCTTGCAGATATATTTTAAGAAAGAATTGATAGGATTTGCTGATGAATTGATATGTGGTGTGAGAGAAAGAGGAGGCAAGGAAAGGTTCAAGTTTGGGTTCAGAGAAGTTGGAAGAACAGACTTGCCATCAACCAAGATGAGGAAGGTGAGGAGCAGGTGGAAGGGTGAAATCAGTGGCTCGTGTAGGGACATGTGACACTGGAGATGTTTTAGAGACCCAAGAGGAGATAAAGTGTAGGCCGTGGGATATATGGCAGCTGATGTTCAGGGAGAGGTCTCTGCTCTGGCTGCGGAAGCACACAGGTGGTGCTTGAAACCCGGAGACCTGAGCTCACTGAGGGTGTGGTATTGATGAGAGGCAGAATCCTGCACATACAGAGTTCTTGGGCTTCTGACTCCAACAGGAAGGGTAACTGACCATCAATGGGAGCTGCATTCTTCTGGTGGCTCTAGGAGTGAAGTAGGCAAAACTGACATAGGGGAATTCTTGCAATGAACTTGCTCATTGTTTCTTGTTTTGATTTTGATCTTAGAATGTGAGCTCAAAAAGTYCATTGGAAAAAAAAACCCATATTTTTTCCTTTTGACTCAGTTGCTTCTTCAGGTGTATGTGTGCGCGCACCTGCGTGAGAGCTCATATGTACATGTGTGCATGTGCTCACCCATGTGTACGTGTGTATTTTCCCTACAGTCATTCATAAAGTCCGAGGTGAACTCGTGGGTTATATGTTGTTCTCTCAATAGCCCATCATAGTACCCCAGTGGACAGCACTTAGGGATTAAAGGTCGGACCTCATCTTTTAAATCCCAAATCAGAGTACATTGGGAAGGGGGACGGAGGTTGGAAGACTTTCAATTCCAAGAGGCAGACACGCTGGAAGATGCAGAATTTCTGGGACATTTTGAGGTTAATGAGATGGCAAATAAAAAGGTTTTAGGGTCGGGGTCACATCCGTTGCCCAGTTGCGCCAGGGCAATGGAGTGGGTTGCAGAGAAGCCAAAGAAAGTGCCAGGAAATAGTGAGAGAGACATATGATTTATTGGGGACAAGCTTACAAGAGATCAGTGACAGTTCCAAGAAGAGTTCAATGGCAGTGGGCTGAAACAGATAGCACCTCCATCCCTGAAGGGGCTTCGCCAAGCACTGCCTACACTCCCTCACAGCATTTTRTCCAGTGGTGAGCAGCTGGACGAGTGTGACATGTATTYTTTCCACAGTGCTCTCAGTTCTGCATTGTCCCCACTCAGAGCAGGTTTTATACCTAGGGCTGCAGAAGCAGTGACATCAGCATTAACTTGCTCAATTTGCTTACGTGACCAGCACTCCAAGGAGCAACCGTCCTGGCATACATGCAAGAAAGAAGCTTTCTACAGATAATGCTAACTTGCCCTAGTTCCCAGTGTTCTTTAGAGGAAGCCAGTGTCCTTCAAGATAATAGGTACCTGGATTTCTGGCCCAGGCTTGCTCTCATGCTTCCTTTAACTTGTCTAGGTTTGGAGGAACCATTCAGTAACATGGTATTCTATTGTCACCCCACTTTTTAGAAATGACACATGAGGAGGCTTTCAGAAAACTCAGTGGACATTGTCACCATYCTCAGGGACAGAGCTTTCATCCACTCTTCTCTAGTGGTACTAACTTCAAACCCATCAGAACATCTCATTCCAGGGCCTTCACCCTGGCCATATTGTAGCTTGGTCTCTCTTACACCAGAAATCCACCCACATGGCTCATTTCTTCCCTCTTATGTTTACAACAATGTCCTCTGAYCAGTGAGGCCTCCTAGGACCCCCCTCCCTTTCTATATTGAAAACCCTTCTTTCTACATGTGGCATTCTCTATTCTTGTCCCCCGTTTGTGGGGAGAATCTGTGGCTCTTCTTAGCATCCAACAAGTTAAAACACTCAARTCTCAATTGTCAGATTTTTTCATTCTACCAGCGTAATATGCAAGCTCTACAGGGGCAGGGATTTTGTTTGTCCACGGCTGTTGCCCCAGAATCTGAACCTGTKTCTGGCATAACCATTCAATAAGTATATTCATTTGTTGAATGAATATAAAGACAACGGTATGCTGTTGAGTCAAAGGAAGTCTGGGTGTTTTCCAAGACTCTGTAATTTAGACCAACTCTACAAAGATTCCATATAGCCCACAATCATGGGATGACATTTTAAGGACACGCTGAAGCAAATAAAATGCTCACGTGCTCCTAAATGGACAGTCACCTAAAAAATGCTTGACCTGGGCTGGAATTGTGGCTCAGTGGTAGAGCGCTCACTTAGGACGGGCAGGACCTGGGTTCAATTCTCAGAACCACATAAAAAAAAATAAAGGCATTATGTTGTGTCCATCTAGAAAAAAAGATTCATTCTCTCTCTCTCTCTCTCAAAAAAAAAAAAAAGCTTGAACTGCTTCATGCCTGCTGGATGGCTCAGGGTTGAAACAGGCTGTCTTGGCATGAATGCCAGAAGGCCTACCATGCTGCCCTGGACTGGAGCCCCAGCAGGCTCCTGGAGAGGTTCACTCAAAGGGGCCCCTTGAGGGACCCATCAAAACTTCGTTATACAATGCTAAAGAAAGAAGTCCCCTACCATAGGACCCAGACTCCTCCAAGTCCCCCAAGTTTCTCAGAGTCACCTTGGATTAGAGGAGGCAGGTGACTTTCCTAATTGCAAGCTCCAGGGCATCCCCCACCACATATGCTCTGCCCTCTCTAAACTCCTGGCTCTCTGGGTTGTTACGTTGCTGCCTATACATCGCCTCCTGGCCCCATCCTCCCTGTATCACCAGGATGCTGGCAAAGCATCCTCAGTCTGCAACCCTGTTACTTAGCTTCTCTCCTCTTCTAGCTGCAATTCTCCTCCCTTTGTCCTCCCAGAAACAATATCAAGCAAAGCATGGATCCCCAAAACACAGCACAAAAGTCCCTTTCATCTCCATCTTATTCCTCYTGGTCTCAGAAATGGGACAACTCTGAGAGAATTCCCGCTGTTATCTTCCTTCAGGGACTGTGCTGCCTGGGCTCTGTGGGACAGCAGGATCTAGGATGCAGGATCTAGGATGCAGTCCTGGGAAAGGGCTATACCCCTTTCCTCCATCACCTGAGTGTGAGGCTTAGAGCCTGCCCTCTCCTACTCCCTGCCTCTCCTTTGTTYCTATTAAGAGATTAGTTGTGTCCTCTTAAAAAACGATGTTGAAATCCTACCACCCTGGACCTGTGATTAAGACCTTCACAGGAAATAGGTCCCTTTAGAAGACAAGGAAGGGATCCAAGCTCAAGTTCTTCTCTGGAGTCCTCAGGACATGTTCTGCTTGGGTGTGAGGGGGAGGAAAGGGAGTTTAGTGTTTTGCGTGTATAAACTTCAGGCCACAAACTTAGATGGTCAAGACCAGATAAATATATATATATATATATTTTTCTATCAGTGAACTTGTGAACCCATCTTTTCCTCAGTGGTGGGACCAACCTCAGGAGGTTCAGTTTCTCTATTCACTTCTTCTCCCAGGGCAGGGTCACACGGGGCTCAGGCCCTGGGATGCAGCTCCAGGATGCCCTCACCATTGTCATCTATATATGTCAAAATCTTCTGGAAAGGTCYTGCTCGAGTTTGGCCTCCAGACACTTCTCTGCAGATGTCCTGCAACATCGACCTGCTCCTCAAACACAAGGTCTTCTCAGCTCACAGGGTTTCTGTGACATGCCCCTRCCACTCTTCTTGGGGGGCACAGAGAACTTTGTGATCCACTAGGATCAAAGGCCTCTTTGCTTTCCCTTCAATCATTCCTCTCCTGGCCTATGGGATTTTTAAATCTATATTGAACTTTCTTTTTTTTTTTTTTAATTCTCAAAAAGAATTTAAAAATTCTCAAAAAGAATTAAAAGATTGTGGCAGCTCTATATCCCCTTAGCCTTGCTCTGAGTCACCTGCAGCTGCAGGTGGACTGTTACCTTGCTTATAGATCACTTACCACCACAGGTGGCTGCATCTCTC